TTCAAAAATACCCTACAGGAAAACCCTTCAAGGATACCCCATAGAAAAATCCTTTAGCCCCACAGCCCTTCAACCCGTCAGACCCTTTAGCCCATCAACCCTTGAGACGCCCAAATGACTGTGAACCACAGACAAATTGCAGTTCAAAACATTAGTGAAAATTTATAGCCGACATTCAGTTTTACATGTATGTTATAACTCAAAAAGGTGATAAAAAGGAATGCTTGTTCAAACCCGGCGCCAGGAGCTGTAGACGAAAGAGATCACATCAAACAGGGACAACTGACTTCTTTATCACGAAGAAAAATACCTTTCAAAGTACTCACAATGCCGCTGGGTATATTGCTGATGTACGGTAGTTCAGCTAATAAAACCGAGCAGGTGCACCTCACGGACACATACACAGTCTCAGTAAGCACGTTTAGCGAAAACCATGAACTCATAAGCAGCAGCCGCCGCCGTTGAGAAATCCCGAGCACAGTCACGGTTTCGTCCATGATGACATCGTGCCGGCGTCTTCGGCGTATTTTTCGCTCGCTGGTCTGAAGTCGGACGGACGAAGAGGCGCAAGAAACAAATTCGGACAGCGGCCGTCATCTACCATCTCAACACCCATAGTGCCATAATCCCGGTGCGCAGGCACAACATGCGCTGGGAAGCTGACCCCGACTGCCAGGCCTTGCCGCGAGTAAGCCGACACCGGCCTCCATCTCCTTGAATGCGCGGAACACAATGGCGCTCGAGCGGTGCTGAACGTGGCCTGCGCCGAACTATGGTTCACCTGCGGTACCAAGAAAGAAACTGCACGGATCAAAACAGACCAAGGGGCGAGCCCTTAAAACCATGCATGCTCACCTTCCTGGAGGAAATTGGTCCGCTCCAAACATCCCGGCTCGTGGGATAACCGGAACCTCACAGAGCTGGCGGCTGGCCTCCCCCGCTTGCACACACCACTCTCTCCCACCGACCGCTGGCCTGGCAGCCCTGCACCCTTTCCACATAGCTGGGCGGAGAGAGGCGCAGTGTGGATTGCTTTTTGGGGACAGTCCCCCGTGGAGGGACCGGTTCCCGGAACGAGTCGCTCCCGTGTGCGTCCCTGTTCCTGGAAAGCGCGCAATGCTCTCGGCTTTTTTTTTTTTCATGCATGGTTGCACGGATTTTGCCTCGAGCGGACAGGATTGCGTTTGCCTCGAAACGCCGCTCGGCCAACACCACTCGGCCCGCGGCTCGTCAATTCTCCACATGGGGCGGTCGCCCTCAGTGGCCTCTTTGGCGACCGAACACCCGGGCGGTGACAGACGGGTCCAGGAGCCCACTCGTGTTTGATAAAAGAGCATTAATAAAAATCTGACCATACACACACACGATCGGCATACTCCAAATACTTATTTTTCCCCCGTAGCGTACAGTAAGCAGCTATGTTAATTAATTCTGCGAAATGTCTTCTCTCCACCTAGGCCTTTGCCCACAGACATCTCAAGAAGCCTAAAGGTTTTCCCGACCCCATTAGAAAAGTTCTTGACAGGCTTTCAGACATTTCAAGGCATTGTAAAGGGCACTTTAGACATTTCAGGAGAGCCTCTGACGGGGCCAGTGAACCCACCAGGAAATATCGGTGCCCCCTTTAAACATCTCAAAAATTCATGAAGCCCCCTTCACACCCTTTAAAAAAGTCCTGAAGTCCCATCAGAGCGATTTTCAATAGGGAACATTTGTTTTCGCGATATGAATAATCTTTTACAATGTTAGGCACCATTCCTTCAAAATATCTGTCTCGTTGAAGGATTTCCGAGTCACTGGGATAGAAAATGCGCCGGTATAACACGACACAAATTCTTACGGATGGCGAAATTAACGGAGGTAGGTCATTAATGTAAGCCAGAAAAAGCCAAGGTACTAGGACGCTGCCCTGTGGTACACCATATTTTACTGATATTGATGAAATGAGGTATCGTCTATTGACACAGACAGCTCGCGATTAGCTAGAAAATAAGAAAAAATTAAAGATGTTTACCACACCCTGTAACACCGAATTAGAGCGCAGCTTTTGGGGAGGAGGAGGGAAGGGTACTGAGGGGAGGGTATACCCCTCCTCTCTCCTCCTCATCCTCCCCAATACTCCTCCTCCCCTCCTCCTTCACCTCCTCCTCCCCTCATCCTCCCTGATACTCCTCCTCCCCTCCTCCTCCCCTTTCCTTCACCTCTCTCTCCCCTCATCCCTCAAGCTGCTCCCCTCCTCTCCACCTCATCCCCCCTCCCCTTCCCTCCTCTCCTTCTCGTCATCCCTCCCCCCTCTTTCCCTCCTCCTCCCCCTCTCCTCATCCTCCCCTTCTTCCTCCTCCCTCCCCTCGTCGTCCTCATTCACCCTCTCCTCCTCCTCCCCCGCCTCCTCCTCCTTCCTCCTCCCCCCTCTCCTTCCCTCTCCCTCGTCCTCCTCGCCCTCCTCCTCTCCGCGCGGTGCAATATGGGACATTTGCCGTAATGCTCCACGCGGTTACGCCGACGCCGACGGTGACGCCAACGCCGCTCGAGCCGGAAACGGGCGCGTAAGAGCTGCGCTCTGAAGTACAATTGATAGCGTCGTCGCTAAAGTTTAGAATTCAAAGTTTCTGTAATCATCGTTCATGAGGGACAGTGTCGGAGGCCTTAGCGAAATTAACGAAGATTGCATCGGTGTTAGAGGAGGCGTTAAAACTGTCATGCAAGTGCGTCACAAATTCGAATAGCTAAGTTTCGCACGAAAGGGTTTCACGAAAGCCATGCTGATTGGCAGAAAGATAGCTGTTATCGTTTAGATAGTATATAAATTGAGAGTAGATGACGTGTTCATTATTTTGCAAATAATACTTGTATGAGAAATCGGCCTATAGTTGGACGGGTTATTGGAATCACCTGATTTAAAAATAGCAATAACCTTTGTGAATTTACAGTCGACGGACATTTCTGAAGATTCTAAAGAGCCACAGAAAAGGCGGTTCAGAAGTCAGTTTAATTATGAAGTTTCAAAATTGTACGCTATGATCGATCCCATTTCGGCAGTCCTTCAAGTGATTTATTTATTGTATGTAGATAACCAATTCAGTCAAATCATTTATTTTAACAGAAAGGTTTGGACTTCCCGCGTAAGAAACTGCCACACACAGCTTATGAGTAGCCAGTTTTAGAATATAATATCGAATAAATGGCGTCGTCTCTATTAGCCAATCCAGAAAGCGGATGTGCTCGGCGCATGAGCAGTAATGACGACGCTTTTATGTGGTTTTTGTTTGGGGGGGGGGTGGGGCGCAACAATTCTGCATAGGCTGCTTTAACTCTTGCCATTGCTTGGGGTATGTAATATATGACGCCGAAAAAAAAACAGCCTGCGTAAATATCACCCAAGTCCAGCGTTGTTGATGGCGAACATCGGTGTCCATTCAGTGGCTGATGACGTCGAAATTTACAAAGCGCATCTGTTCAAACAAATAATGATTTGTTCACACTGGCTCATGAAGGGTGCGCCTAGCGTTATAATTCAGCCAAACGTTCCAAGGGAATTCTCCCGCGCCCTTTAACATTATTTGGTCATATTTTTGGAACAAAAATGTCACTTATTAGAAGGGCCTGTCACTATAGCCTGTCTTGAGTAGGAAAATGTTTGTATAAAAAGTTTATTTCCTAGGGCCAATATTGTGAAATGCCATTTATTAATACTTTAGCAGGGTTGTCAATTAACAAAAATTTCTGCTTGGCCTAGGTCGAACTGTCAAAGTATTTTTCCGATAGTTTGGTTTTCTCTTAATAGAACATCATCAGACAATAACACTTGTTTCTTTTATATATAAATCATCTGCGTCATTATACAAACAGCTCAGTGTGCGAAGGTAACTAAAGGTTGGGTGTTCAAGAAAACCAGACAGTAGTAAACTCGCGAGTTCATCTGTTCTACCCTATTCAGCACACTGCTAATCAAGTTGTCGACCAGTACCTTCACATTCATGTATTAGTCTTCTCATTAGTTTATTTTTTGAAAATTTGTATTGTCGGGTACGGCCGTAGACGACGGCAATCTTCGCCGTATATCACTTCAGTTGTTTCACCACCGACCATAATAAAATATTAAAAAATGTTCGTAAAAAACGAAAATAAAAAGAAGAAAACTGCCAATTAGACTTAAAACAACCTCCTAGTCCTCAAACTGGCTTTGTACCGCTGTTTTATTGGTGGAGTTCTAGAAGGGAAACATTTGTATCTAAAAAATTAAGCAAAAACTACATAATATCGCAACACGGCCCCTCGCACGTTGAAACCGAAGCCACCGAAGTTGAAGCAATTTAATGGCGGCGAGCGCGTCAGCGCCCTTTCTCTTCCGGTCAGGCAAGTACTGAGATGCAAATGTCCACAGATCACGGAGCTAATCCTTGCCCTGAAGGTAAAGCTAGGAGTAAAAATAAGTTGATAGTCTTCTAACGCGGCATACATGCGCTTAATAAAGATAAATTTCATGCTGCAATTCATAAAAGCTCTGTGCAGCATTTTTATAAACGACAGGCACGTTAACGTGCTTAGATTTAACCTTTCTATTTCAGGAGCGAAGGTTTGGTTGTTATTGTAAGAGAAAGATCGATGAATTCTCTCCAGTTGTGTTTATGTAATAAAATCCCATATCATGATCCTGAACTATATATTTCGCTAAAAACAGATCATTTGAATGCGATTTATTTAAGTGCAGTTAAGCGGAGGTTTTTTTGTATTTTTTGTCCTCGTCGAATTTTATGATTAAACAAAGCTCACTGATTTCTCGAAGAGCTGGGTAGAGGACAAACCCCTGCGTTAGTGTAAACATTTTTCAATGGTCCCATTTTCCGCTAAGGTTGCGTTACCTTTTTAATTAGGGGGTACATATAAAATAAATAACAGATATACATTTTATTTGCCTGCGCCTAAAGCTTCAGAAGCTAGAAGATCGTTTGAAATGAAACAACAATAAACAACAAAATAATACTTGCCTTTTTCCTCAGGCAGCAAATAATGAACGAAACAGGACGTTCTCAACCCGGTAAGCAACAAACTTTGAGGCTGTTCTTGGTTGCGCTTTGATTTGAAACTCAGCTTTGTTGTTGAAACCTAAACTGACATACCCACGGTCGCACGCACGCACGTGCACCGCTAGGCTTTTAGTTGTGTTAAAATTACAAAACCGTTCCCTTTATTTTATTACTTTTTCCTTGGATAGTAAATACAGGGTGTTGGGCGTTTATTCAAGCAGGCTTTTATAGAAAAAAAAGAAGAAAACGGTGAGTGTTAGATGAGTGCAGTCTTTAAAATGTATTTATCAGGCACGGCGAAGATTAAGCGCGCACATGATAGTCGCGGTACGTTGTCTAATGAACTGGAATATGTCAATTAACCTAGAAAATATTAGTTTTACGGGTCATGTTTTAATCGCAGCATTGACGGAAATTACTATCAGAAGCCTGAGAAATTAAAATAGCATGTGAAAATTTAATAGATCTTTATATATTAAATAATTCTTTAATTTATTCCTTTTTAGCCTAATTTAAATATTTAAGCTCAAAAAGAATGCCGCAAGCCCTGCCCATAGCAACGTTGTCGTTTCACGAATGAGGTAACTCTCTCGGCAGCAAGTCCTTGGCATCGTTATTAGATCAGCTCAGTTAGAGAGCTGTTCATAGACGCTGCATGCACCAGCAGCACCCGCGTCACTCACCACGACTCGCCTCCCGTCGTTCGACGCGCCGGACGGCTACAGTAGTAACTGCAGTGTATTCTATGGAGTACGCACGTTTCGAAGCACGGCGTCTAGATGGCGCTCCATCGTACCCTATGGAACACACAGTTCGTGAACGGAAACCTAGATGGCGCTCTGAATGATGGAAGGCGGACTGAAGTGAGTGAGGGGGGTACCCCCTTCCGCAGGAGTTCCACAACTGAGGTAATCTAGTAACGTTGGTCCTTGGTTAGTGCGCCGACGACACAACTGACGGCGTGACTGAAACAATCCCGTCACCCTTTGAAGCGTCATTGAGGGCAAGTCTGGCGGCGTTCTTTTTGAGAGCGATTTTTAAATCGAACTAAAAAAAGTCGAATTTAGTAAATTAATGTCTGAGAAACTATTATATCTTCGAAAGTGTTTTCCATTTATCTTGCCTCTAATACTAATTGTCGTCTATACTGCAATTGCAATCTAACCCCTAACGCCAAATATTATTATTTGTTAATGAGGTTTTGTTGATTTCTTAATTCAGCGAAACAATTATCTTCTGATATAATGTCCACCCAGCCTTATATATAGATACATTGTAAAGGCGGTCTAGCTCTCACGTTTTTTTGTGTTTTTTTTATGAGAAGTCGGTTTGAATGCAAAACGAACACCCTGTACTTTATCGAACACGTGGTATAAAGAGCTTCTCCTCTTAATCCTTTATTAGAAAAAAATTTTTTGTTAAAAATTACATTGGTTTAATCGCATAAGCACTTCGTTCCTTCACTCCTTACCAGACTTGGACGTAGTTCAACTACTCTGCTAAACCTACTACTGTAGTTTAACTACATTTTTAAGTAACTTGGTAACTTTCAATTACAATTTGATTTGGGTAATTAGTAGTTTAATTTAACTACTTTTTTCAGGTAAATTCTACTCAAATTACTAACTACTTTCGAAATTATATAGTGCTAATTTTGCCCATCACTAAAGTTTGAGCGTAGAAATGAATAAGACGTCGGCAGATGATGAGGCATTCCCTAACATGAGGCCCCCTTGTTCGGGAGGGCGTCCTTGGGTCAAGGTGGCGACGAGCAGCCAAAACAGAACACCCCACGCAGGAATGCAGGAAGAGATGCTTAACAAGCCTTGGTCGGGTATTGACCTAATCCGGTAATGCACGCAGGCGCCGCATTTCCAGCTGCAACCGTGAAAGACGGGGACACTCCGAGAGTTGTTGTCTGTCTTTAAAGGGACAATGAAGGCAATTTCGGACATCTTTTTGGCGATTGAACTGGGTTCCAGGCACGTCTCAGGCCACTTTGCCCAAATTTCAGCCGAAACCGGCGCTTGTGTGCCGCGCAAATCAATTAAACAGTCGCGGTAATAATCGTACCGGGATCGACTGGGGCGACGCCCCGAGAGTTGCGGGAGAATCCAGGAGAAGCGGAGCTCACGTGACCGATGCGAGGCCAAGAAGCGCGACGTCACAAGAGACGCTTCAGCGATTGGTCGAAACGAGAGACGCGCCCTCGGTCACGTTTTGGTTCTCGGTTTTTAGGAATACTGTTCTAATTTCCGCTTGAATAATCATGAAAAGTATAAATGGGACCGAAAAAAAATTACTAATCCGTAAATAAAGCAGCATAATTGTTTTTTTTTCTTTGCTACGCTGGACGCGAAACGGCCAACGAGCAACTATGGGCACTTCGGCATGCGGGCCGCTCGTTACCCTCTGGGCGGTCTCCGTCGGGTGACGGCGGAGGCCGCCACACACGTACTCCCGTTCCGTTTGTGTTGGGTTACTGAACGGAAGCTCGAACTCGCTCGCGAGAGCGGCATTGCCGTCCATGTGGACAGATTCGACGAAACGAACGCGCCACCGCACTGCTATAACCCACCGCGGTAACCAGAATCTCGATCTCCTAAATACTACCGATACCGACTATTCACACTTGACGTCACTCCCTATACGTCACCTCCGTTTTTGGAAGCCCAGAAACGAGAATGGAGATAGTTCAGTTTCGGTTTCTTTACTTTTTTCGTAGGCACAGAAATACGCGTCACAAATGGCTACAAAAAATTGGGCAGCATGCTATGTTCCCAAGAAGCATAAAAACACCATTTAAAAAAATTAAATAAAATCGTCTTCATTGTCCCTTTAATGAGTTCTGACTCAAGCGGTAGGTTCCACGGGAAGCGCCACTGGAATGACCTCGCAGCTGGGCGCCTGTTCCCACGGTCGCCTTGTCGTCAGCGCATACTCCCTCCCCTAGCCGGACTCCCCCGCGCAGAAACCCTCGCACGGATAATCCGTTCATGGAAGCACGTCCCCGCTTCCAGCTGCAACTGTATATGAGCGACGATGCTTGTTCACGTAATCCTTCGTGTCCTTCCGACCATCCACGCCAGGGAGACCTCCTCTTTGTTAAAAACGATTTACTTGTCAGGCGTGTCAGACGCGTCAGAATATTGTAGTCGCCGGCGAGGATTGCGAGTTACCCTTGGGACATCCTTTTGTCGGGCCCGGCGTCAGCGGCGAAGTATACACCAACTCAACTCTCCTACGTCACGCCGCGGTGGTGGCGCGCCGGACGCACTTCCGGTCTGGGGCGGTGGGCAGAAGTCGCCGTGCCAGACATGCATTCCTGTGTTCTTTTGGAAGAAACGAGACAAAAAAAACCGCCTTCTCGTCAAAATGCTGCGACGGGGCCTGTACCAAGAGAGCCTGAAAAGGTTTGAAGATCAGTTTTCATGTGTTTTTGGCCCCTCCGTTCTTCCGAGAACGTGAATAGTAGCCGTGAAAAGGGCAAACCAGACGCTGTCAAACTACGATTGCGTGTGCGGGCAACACTTTGTGGTCGCCAGATGTATTTGTTTTGTTCCACATGAACGAGAGAAAACCGCCAAGTTGTCCGGACCACCCACGGGTTCAGTGCGTCTTCAAATTCACACGGCCGCCTGATCGTTCGAACTTTCGTCTGCTTTTTCAAACTGGCATGCTTTTTGTCGTCTGCTAGTTCAAACGAAAGTGGCCCGTAGACCAAACGTTGACCCGGTAATTTCAATAAGAAGTAATTTCAGGCCTCAAAAGAGTTAAGTACGCTCGATGTAAACAGTAGATACAAGATGTTGATTATTGGTACCGGTGGCCATCACCGACTTGTTACGCTTGGTTTGTTCCCGCTTCCGATTTTCAATATTGACGTCGATCATTGCCGCTACCTTCTACACTTTCGCAGCACCAGCGACGTCACGTCCGATAATAGCTAGAAGAATCTCATCATGGTTTTGGCGTCCATTCTGCGGCGTTCACGCGAATGAATCGCCGCACGACAAATTATTTACGCAAAGTTTAGCGGTGTAACGAGAATTGATAATTTCGCTCAGGTGATTAAAGTGGTAAGAAAGACATTGCGATGACGACGTCGAATCGAGAATTCCAACCCGAAAAAGAGTATGCAGACTCACAGAAATGGCGACAACGTGACATTTGAATGGTTTGTTGACGCGGGACGCGGTGCTTCTTGCAAGTACTCCATTGCGCATGCGTTCGAACTGTCGTCTGCTCTTTCAAACTTGGCTGCTTTTTGTCGCCAGCTCGTTGAAACGACAGCAGCCCGTAAACCAAAAGTTGTGAAACCAAACGTTGTGAAAGAACTAAGTGCAGGCCTCAAAACAGTTTTGAAGGTTGGTTGGGGTAAGTATAGGGCTAAGTGTAAACAGATACAAGAAGATGTTGATCATTGTTACCAGTGGCCATCACCGACTTCTAATGCCCGATTCTACTTGCGGTTTTCAGTATCGACGTCCACCATCTCAGCTACGGTCCACGCTTCTGCAGTCCGAGCGAAGTCGCGACTAAAAATAGCGAGCAGAATCTCATCGTGGGAGTCAGGCTTTAGCGCCCATTCTGCGGCGTCCACGTGAAATGAATCGCCGCACGTCACATTATATACTCAAAGTTTTGCCTCGTTAGTTTTGCTGAAGCCGCACAAGTAGTCAGACAGTGTTAGGAGGACGTAGAATCAACAATTCCAACGCGAAAAAGAGCACGGGGACTCCCACCGACGCCGACAACAACGCAATTCAATGGTTTGTTTATGGGCGACGGCGGGCTTCTTGCCCACCATCCACCGCGCATGCGCGGCGCCGGAGGCGTCCGCTAGGGGCGCTCCGGTTTGTTTGTAAACATGAGTTGGTGTATAGACCCTTTCTTCGAGGGCGCCGCCATGTTGAATTGTCGTCACTTCCAGTATGGGCGAAAACATTGTTTTGCCGTCGCCATGCCAATAGAATGCATCTAGGAGATAAGCGTGACCGTCACCCATTATCGTTTTTTCTCCCCTCTATATTTTTACTATTTGCAGGTTAAAAGGTTTTAATATTTTTTCGTCGCCCATACCGGATATGCCTACTTGGCGGTCGGAGGCGAGAGTAAGCGGGAAAGGTCTATACTTCGGTTCATCTTCTGAGTAGCGTTGCACTAGCACTACAACGGGACGCGCAGTCGTCCGGATGATCTCATCGTCGTGGCGCGAGACTTGAACCCTTGACGGTCTGGTGCACTCGCTCAGCGTACTCTCAGAACGGCGTCGGAATAAAGAGGGGCCAGTCATAACAATCTCAACTTGACGAAGAAAAAAGAAAAAAAAGAGGAAAGTTTGTTATAAAAGACCCTCTACCCGAGGCGAACCTCACATGTTTCGTCATGGACACCTAAGATGCCGACACTCGCTTACTCGACCCTGCAGAGCCTGTTTCTCAAATTCAACGCTGCCGCTCCATTCAGTGCCACGGTGGAACGTCTCTTTAGCTTGGCTGGGGACGTCTTTAAAAGGAAAAGGGGAAAACTCTCCTATCAAGAACTTTGAAAGTCAATTGCTTCTGCCACCGAATAAACTATTTGGCGAAAACGCAAGCTATAAATAGACTGCATTTTTTTTAGGCTCGCAGGGTTTTTCATGGATCAAAACTGCTGTTCATTTCGCCACCACAAAAATATAAAAAAGTAACTTCGAAAGTAACTTGAAAGTAACTCGCTACTTTTGAGAGTAGTTAGTAGTTTACTCAATTACTATTACAAATGCGTAATTTCTACTCTACTCCAATTACTTTTGGCGTCGATACTCAGTAACTTAACTACCTTTTTTGAGTAATTTGTACATGTCTGCTCCTTACCTCATCGTTTCTATAGCGACTCGCGGCTAATGCGTTGTGTGAAACACAATACAGTATAAGCAGTAGCTAAAAAGTCAAGTCATATATGGAAGTAAATAACGGCCAGTAAAGCAAACGGCTGATATTGATCTTAAAGGGATGGTAAACCGAAATTTGGATTAAAAAAAGCAATGCAGGAGGTGTAGGCGGGACGCTACAGTCCCTACAACACTACTGGTAAGGAGATTCTAGAATGGACGGTTGTATTTTTGGAAAAAAGAGGTCGAGATTTAACCAGGCCGACGAGGTGCGTGACGTAGAGATATCTCGTTTCCTCCTCTCTTCGCTTCGCCCTCAAGGCGGCGAGGTGGAGAAGACGCGAGGCCGTTCCCTCTTCTTCTCGGAAAAAGAAGTCGTAAACATATCTGTCAAATACGCCTTCTTTTTTTTTGAAAAAAATACAGTCATCCGTTCGACATATCGCTGTATGAGTGATGTATTGGTGTTTGTAGCATCCCGTTGCACGCTTTTGCCGCCGTGTTTCGTGGAATCCGGATGTCGGGTCAGCATCCCTTTCAAGTCGCAACATATATGCAGGCTCGCATATGTTCTTGGTACAAGTGTTGTTGCACAGTAACTATGCTTCACGCACTTGACGCCATCCATTTCTAAAATCGATATGTGTATACTATTTAGACGAAGTGGCACCAACCGTGCTTTTTTTTAATAAAATCGTGCTCCGTTCACAAAGGAAGCGGGTGCACAACTCCTAAGTGAATCCGTATGTTTTAAACCGCAAAAAATTCTTAAACTTTCCTATTGGTCAACCTCTATCTGTTACACTCGTGCGGCAAAAGTAGGAGTGGTAAAGTTAGCACTCGTGCAGCAGTCCCAAGGCCAGCGATGAAAAAGCGCGAATAAGAATTTAATCTACGTTTTCGTATTTCCAGTCTTGCGCCCGTTGTATGAGTGGTAACTTTAGCACACCCATGTGCTTCCCACGTGCTTCAAGTTGTCATAAAATGTAGTAATGTAGGGGTCTTCAATGACTTTCTGCAAATTTATAATTGAAATAATATAGATGCAATATTCAGTAAATCTTATGAACTTCTTTTGCTCATTAGTTTTTTTTTTAATTGCGCTGACGTCCGCCGTTGCTGGAATTTTTTTCTTTTGTTGAAAATAAGCTATATTTTTTCAAACGCCATATTTTTAAAATGTGTGAGTCTTCGCAGAAACACCCGGTATGCAGTTATGTAAACAAAAAAATTGCTTCAAAAAACGCCACTTCAAAGCTACTCTTCCACTATACGCAGATTATAAAAATAAAACAGAAATATCATGAGAGCTAGTGTAGTGCAGAATTCATAGAAACATTTTAACTGTGGATACTTTCAGGGAACACTGAAGTGCCCTGCTCAGTTTACTCATTTGAATATTATCAAAAGTAAAACCTATATTATACGAAATTAGTATTTTATTTTAGAATATCAAACTTCTGGAGCAATATGTACATAGTTCTGCCGATTGTATTTTATAAGATTGTACCCAAGATATTTTTTTTATAAATTCTCATTTTGAATGTATTAGTTCCCAGCCTCCATGTAAGGCACTTTCTCACAGTCCCAAGGTGCTTCACAGAAGTGCGCCTCTCGTCAGATATGTTCAACGAGATGTATTTCTTTTGCTCTAATTCTACTTTGCATTGCATAAAACCTCTATGTTTGTAAACATCTAGACAAGTTCCTTAGAAAAAACTGAAACGTTACAAAAAGATATATACTTAAGCTAGTAGAGTCTTCAACAGTATGAAATACACCTTTGACGAGGCAGCTTAAGAAGGTTATGAAGGACTCGTCTAGGACTCACGCCCTTGGCTAGGGTGAAAAAGAAAAAAAGACCCTTTAATGAAGTGTCTCTTAAAATACAATGCCTCTGAAAAACGCTCCAACGGATAAACTCCCTGGGCGATTCGGTCTTTCAGTTTGTGAAATATTCCAGTGTATTGGATGCCCGAAAAGTGCTTTATAGTTACCGATTTTCAGGTAGTTATGTATTCCACAACCATGTCTACACAATTCGATTGCGTAACATCAGCTATTATTTATGATGTCCCAGTTTCACACATTTTGCTGCTTCTGCGTTTACACAAATTAACCAATTATCTAAACGTTTATCTTTTTGTGGTTAATTTAAAATATGTTTAGTACACACCTTATATTTTGGCGACTTCTCTCATTTATTTCGGGCAATTGCGTATCTGCACTGTGAACAAAATTGTTCCAGGCATCAATGGAAGAATCGGAGGAATTTGTCTGGCCGGAGAGAAAGTAGCTGCAGTGACAGATGACGGCAACTTCACCGGCGTTAGGGACGCTGCTATTCAGCTATCGGTTCTGTAAGTTCATTAATTACGCACAGGACAATAGCGTTCAAAGGAAAACACTTACATTATATAACCTAATTTAACAAGTGAATACGTAGGCTTTGAAGTTGATATCATAACACCATGGATTATATAAAAAAACTAAATTGTCAACATCTTGATCCTGCCCAAAAATCAGAATTACGCGGAATGCGGTTTCGATATCAGTAAAACGGTCATTAAATCTAGCGTGGAAGTTTCTCACTACATTCAGTCTGCGAATAACTTGATCTTCGTAACGTACAAGCATGCCCTACAACATACTTTGCGTTAAAATGTCTGGTTCACTTGCTTGCCAACTTTAGAGTTTATATAAAATATCGTGAAGAATGATCTGCAACCTTTCCATGCATTGGCGTTGCTTTCAAACGGTGGAAGATACACTCTAAGAAATGCCTGCGGGTCTACATATCCGAAAAACACTCAAAGAGCCAATCTCTGCCATCTACGAAATCAGCTCAGCAAATGTTGAGGAACTGTTTCAACCTACAAATTAAATGTGCGCTGTGGCATTACTCAATGAAAAAATGACGCTTTAAGTTGCGTAATGCCACAGCACAGACTTAATTATGAGGTCTAAACAAATGTTCCACATCCTTCGCTGAGCTGATTTCGTAGATCGCAGAGATTCGCTCTTTGAGTGCTTTGCGTATAAGTAGACGCGTAGATAGTTCTTTGAGTGTAGAGGCGTACGTTCGTGATACCGATGGGCCCAGATTGCCGGTGATGCTTTAATGTATACACAAAATAGAAAAAGATGAGGTTCAAGGTCGGGACTTAGCCGGTTTTATTTTTATATCGCAGGAAAACACCAACGTTGTGCACTGCTCCAAGAAAAACTAAAGCTAAACAACGCTCGAATATTATAGACGTGCCCAGGTGTAATTAAATACTCCTAACGTTTTATATACGTATTTTCCTGGCTATAGTCACAGCCCGACGCATAGTCCGCACCCCGTGTGTAGTCCGCCATTCGTGCCTAATTCGAACGTAAAATTCATCATACACAGCACTCCTTGAGAAATGCCTGCTGTATTAGGTCACAAAAAAGCTCGTATCAAACATAAATAAACATAATGCACCCTGTTATTCTTAAAATATTTCACGTCTTGTCACAGCGAATGACCAAGAAAGTAAAAAAAAAAACCGTATTATAGTGTGCACGTATAAGCTTTAAAAATGTATAGTCTGTGGACTGAAAGCCCGAAAAATACGGTACTCTTGATTAAAAACGAAAACAGCGCAAGGACATGGACAAGAAACAGAAGGTCGACGAACAAGGCGCTGACTTACAAGTGATGTTTGTTCGTGCTAACATCGAGTATTACCACTGTAACGTTATAACAGTCAAACAAAGAAAAAAAAACCGCATCTCCACGTGGTGAATGATGTTGATTTGGGCGAAGCTCTGGTGGTGCTTGTCCGCGTAGTCGCTGAGCCGCAGCATGCCGAGCCTTACGTTCGTTTTCATCCATGTCACGCTGCGGTGAAATGCTCAAATACGTATTTAACCACGCTCCATACCACACATTCTCTTTCTGACATGGATGAAAACGAACGAAAGGCTCGGCATGCTGCGGCTCACCGTCTACGCAGAAGAGCACCACCAGAGCTTCGCCCCAATCAACATCATTCACCACGTGGAGATGCGGTTGTTTTTTTCTTTGCCCTGCACGAGCACGGGAGCACGTGCTCACGTGCTCGTGAGCGCGTGAGCTCACGAGCAGGAGCACGTGCACCGGACGGCGGGCGGACATACGGACATGGCTAGCCCCTAAGGAGCTTTGCCCCTAAAAACAAAGAGAGAAGTCTTGTTCGTCTACCTTCTTGTTCCTGTCCGTGTTCTTGCGCTGTTTCAATTTTTAACCATGAACTACCATATAGCCCAATCTTCTACGTTAGTCAATGGTACTCTTGTTTAAAGGTTTAAAACCGCGAAAATATCGAGGAAAAAGAAGACACAAAGACGGCAGGAGAGGTTCCAGCGCCTGTCGTGTTGTCTTTGTACCTTTGTCCTCGCTTTTTTCGCGCTCTTACACCTCTTAATTAGTAGGAACCAACTAGACTAAACTGAATTTATAACCCTACATTCTTGTTCGGTATTCTGTCAGCTTCTCAATCTTTAACTATGTTTAAAACACCGCTGGTATTAACATTTAGCCAGACCCATGTGCTCGATGTTTATTAACAAGAATATCATTGTATTTTGCTCACATTAATTATATTTTAGTTCATTCATTTTCTCAGGCTCACCGATTCTGGCGCGCATGCTTCGATTAACTATGCTCTCCTTTCGCCCTTACTGCCCATTCCCAATAAAACACTCGAACAGGCAATGAACACCATTGCAGGCCTAGGTGAAAATGTTACCATTACGACTCCTCTGACTTTCCCCGTTCCCGACAAAAGAGTACTGATTCCAAAACACAACCTGCCTTGGGACACAGGCCTCATTAAAAATGCTAAGCAGCTTAGCACAGGTGAACGGCGGCGTGTTTTCTCGACCCTTCAGTGAGCTACCTATACCTAAGTCCTAGGGATGGGCTCCATGCTCTAAGGTAACCTGTAACACTGATGCGTTTTTGTTTAATTTGGAATACTATTTTTGAATACCTACGTAGTGCGAACAAGTAGTATATAATTAGTGTGTTCTGGAAGTGTGCAAACTCTTGAAGGCGTTTCCATCGTTTTTTTTTTGTGTTACGGCTGTACCGTTTGCTGGTTAGGCACGTTTCGTTAAGGGAAATATGCTTAAGTAATTAAAAATTCCAAAACCGCCAATTTATAATTGTATAGTTGAAAACATAACAAGACAACTTTTAGCTATGCAATACCTCTGCTTCGCAGGCATTTTTAAAGGCATACAATCAAAATCTTTCACAGAATTGGCGATTCAGCTCGTGATTTCATTCTGTCCGTCCAACATGACAGGCGCTAGTTCATCAATTCTACATAGACAATCGGGCTGGATGTCTTTGCCGTGCCTAAGGAATAGGGATATTTGGGCAGTTCTTATTTCGGACGATTTAAACTGCGTCTTGAGATTTTTGTTTACTCTGGCAATTTAGGAGTTTTGCGGGAAACACTTACACTTGTGTCTATTTTTAAGCATGGGTGCTGTGTATGACGGCGAGAGTCCTCCGAGTTCTGAGTTCGTGATCGGAGGTGACGGTGCACAGGAGTGTGACCCTAAGGATGGATTTCTCATGGGCGAATGGAATGATTATCAGAAAAGCTTCAACTTATCTGAATGTACTCCATACCAGGCCGTAATGGGTCTAAGGTAAGTTTGCTTTAGATTACGTTTATTCAGTGATACAGATCATCATTTCTAGAACATCGTTTCGCTTGGTGTATAACGCTAGTTTATACCTGATGAACAGTTGTGAGACTGAGGTGTCCTCTTGTACCCACCTGGGCCAAATGAGGGGATCACGGGCAGCAAGGGATAGGCTGTGTACTCTTTACCTCTAAATAAGACTCGCATTCAAGCAGACTTTGGAAGGAATTTATTACAATCGACGCCGTATACCCTGAAAAAAGCCCGTGCGTCTACTTTCCCGGAGAACACTCGGAGCGCCAATCACCACAGGTTAGGGAGGCAGCTCAGTGACCGATGATGCCGAAGCATATGTGTAGACTAAAAAAAACGCAGTCTGAGTTGTGACATTAAGCAATTCAAACGCTTGCATTGCCTAATGTGACAACTCAGACTGCGTTTTTTAGCCTAAACTTATGTTTCGGCATCGTCTCTCGCTGAGCTACCTCCGTACGTTGCGGTGATTGGCTCTCCGAGTAATGTGCGGGAAGGTAGACGCACGGGCTGATTCAGAGTGTAGTTATAACTTATTATTTTGTAATGTTGTAATTACCACGTCACATCTATGGGCTGTCATTTGTAATGTATTATGATTACAGAAGCTTTGTAAAACTTGCTTCATATCTACTCCTAGCGTTTATAAAGTAGCATGAAATTAATACTGGACCTAGTGCATTCACTCGATTCCACCACACAAAGAAGCTCAAAATTACAAAATAAATATAGAATATCATCTGTAAAAGTGGAATATGGCACAAAAAATTGATTTTGATTTCATCGATGGTGTCGTGCGCTTGTGAATTTTTTGGTACGCAATGATGTAACTTTTATTTGTTTATTTTAAAGGAAGCAGGCGAAATGAGGTGAGATGACGTAGATTAGATCCTCACAAGATTTCATTACTTGCGTTTAACATAAAGTTTAACGACTACAGATATACTATCTGTAGTCGTTAAACTTTATACAGTTAAACAACTTATATACATTTGTGAGTATGATATCTACAGTAGTGTCTAATCTGTTCAAACTCCTGCAGTATGTGCGTGAGGTTAACTTTGATAGGCTTGCAATTCGAAGTGCATTTTCATACCTGCAGCGACATGGTGCAAGCGAGAAGTCTTGTTTACAACTATGGAGTTGTGTGGGTTCGTAGGTTTGAGACACAGATGTTGCTCTGTTTTATTAGACTACGCTTACGATGTGGCTTAAACACGTTGCACTGCAAGCTTTTTCTTCGTGCATATTCATTGATACACTTCCAGAAAAGGTGCGTGCAGTTTGTGAAATTGCTTGTGCTCGAGCAAAGTAAATATTAAAACTTTTTTACATGCACAAGCACCAGCTCAACTAAAGCACCCTTTCGCGACCGTGTTTTTTGTACTGCTACACGCAATTATTAAGATAAAATATACTGCCTTTAGTTTATTTTACAGGGAACAGAATAAAGTAGCAATGAAAAAAATCGGAAGTAGCATGGAAACAAAATGAGTGGAAACAAAGACATTTGATTTATGCATTACTTGGGAAGCATCCGTGCAAAGCAACGTGACAACAGTTTGTAACGTAAGGAGAAAAGTAATCAGTTACTTTTATGAAAGCAATTAGTAAGGGTAATCTCCTTATTGTAATCGACTTCATATTTTAAGTAGTGGGCACAAGTCTCATTTGAAGTTTAACACGTTGTCTCAGTTTTCCCTTGGATTTCCTAACTGGTGCACACTTGAGTTCTTCCAAAACATACATAGTTATTAACGAGTTCATATTGGACAAAACGTTGGATGAACCTCTTTCCACTCAAGTAGGATGCGCATAGCTGGACTTTGCAGCAAGCTCGACGGAATCGCCGGCGTGTAGTTTTGGGTTCTTCTCGTTAATTTTCAAACAAACCCTCTTTGGGCTTAGCGTAAATAAATAGAAATATGTTGATCAAATCTTACAAACTTGGCGTTCCGTATTTAGGTCACTGGTGAATAGAGTTTGGTGACGTGCACCTTTGTGCTTCTGTATAGAGCACTTTTTAGTAAAACATGAGAACAGCGGCCTCAAAGCGCCCTTATTTAATCTGGTCAGGCTCAAGCTATGTTAGATAAATGTAACCGTAACCTCTATACAACACTTCAGTTAGACTCGTCAAAGCTGCAAAAGCTTCGATAGATTTAAATCTTAGCACTGCTTTACAATAGCTACAATTAAAAAGCTAGTATAAATGAACGACGCTGCATTTTGCAGGCTTACTGACATAAAAAGAATAACTGATAAAAACAAGCTTTTGCACTACATCGGTCTACTACTTAATTTGTTTTATAAAACTGTGACCCAATGGCAACTGAAGTTTTCAGATGGATTATAAAAGACGTCAAACATAATTCCCAGTGGCTGCATTTAAATCATACGTAAGAGTAGTAAAAAAAAAGGCCCGAAACAACAGTTTTCTTGTCTTTAAAATGACAAACGAAATGGCAGTGAAAAAGAAAGTCTATTGGAAGTTACTGTTTTAGGAAATCAGTGGGAAGCCAGTGTTTTAGTTTTAGTTTACAGAAATAATACACCAATTTAACATTACTTCCCAATTGTTTCACACTATATGACAGTGATAAACTTATAAATCACTAATGCATGTAATATTCACACTTTCAGGCAGCGTGGAACTATATGTTACGGAACTCCAGAAGAAAAGAAAAAGCTGCTCGAAACTACAATGTAATTCTACTTCCAAAGAAGCGAAGTCATGACTCCTTATCATGACAAAAATTTGCAGGACCCAAAAGCAGGCCTTAATTAAAAGTGTTTGTTTACGTGCGTAATTGTTCGCAGATGTTTTTTTCAGGGGTGCCACAAACTGAGAAAATTAATGAGTCGAACTTTTTTACTCACTGTTTTACGCAAAAAAACTTTTTCCCGATTTTATTGTGCCTATTTTTTTATTTATTTAAACCGGCGGTATGATACCGCAGAGCGGGCCAAAGGCAAACGGCGTAGATACCTAACAAGCCCCCTCTTGGTTTCCAGCTGGCAACAGGCAGACAAAATTTTGAAATAATAAGATAACATAGCCAACATACAGAAAGTTGCAAAGCCTAAGCAATGTACACGAAGTAGCCAATCATGAATTATACAGAAATCAAATGTCACAGTATAGTTCAACGTAAAGCATAATTAGTATAAAAAATAAGTGATGATTCAATCTAAAACCTGAGTATTATAAACCAATTAAATCTAAATTTAGTCGCCAATATACCCTATTCAAAATCCTATCAAGATACGTAATTTGGGACACTGACTGCCAGTCAGCATCCTTGGTGGAACCTGATGGACCATCAGACGTCATCTGATGGTCCATCAGATGACGTCTGACTGCCACTGCCATGGGATTTTCATCAACAAGGGCAGCATTTATATAAGAGTAAAGCTATACATACTCATAAATATCGCCAAATGCCTCGATAAAACAAAATGTTCGAGAAAAAAAAAGAAGAAAAAAAAAAGAAAGCAGGTCCACCGCTGATCGAACCCGCGACCACTCGCGTACAAATCGGACACCTAAGCCCCTACTTTATGCCATCGCTTGGGAAACTCGATTTGACCATTCATTTTATACGAGATGCTTCGCCTGCAAATGCAGTTAAGCCTTCAGCATGTTATGCAAAGCACTCGTACAGCTGCAACGGAAAAAGAGTAGCACAAGTGGCTGACGCCCGGAGCGGCAAAATCACGACGCAAGGCGCTATTGTTCCCGAGCTTGCCGATAGCGAGATTGCCAGTCACGTTCCATGTCGGCCAACGCGGGGGTGGCCGACAGAAAGCAGCCTATCCTAAAGCCCGTATCTAGAAAGCTATCTTATCCCTCAATTTTCTGCTGGCCACCCCGCATTGAGATATTGAACGCGCCTGGTACTCTCATTATTATCGGAGTGCTCCGGAACAATAGCGCCGCGTTTCGCCATTTGTCTGCTCCGGTTATCGATCACTTGTGCCACTCTTTTTCCGTTGCAGCTGTACATCACTCGCTGTACTTCAGTTCGACTCACCTGCCATGCAGTGTACTTTCGCGTCCTAGATAGATCCTTTTGTTCGCGCGTCTCCGGCCCAGTAGACCTGGTACTATCGTGGACACTGTTAGCTATAACACGGCAGCGGCGGCCGTCCCGTACCCCCAGCGCCCCATAGCAGGCGCCGTCCGAAACTCCGTGCATGCGCCGTGCGGCGGACTTGCTCTTCCCTTTTGCGAGCACACCCTCGCTTTACCGTCTGCTAGGCGCAGAGCAGGCGATGCTACAGTGCTGCTCGTCTGGTACCCTCGCTATAGCAAACTGGTCTCAAACTCATTTTCAACCGGCGATTTGTACTGGCGCAGATTGCAGAGTCATTAGGGCATAACCCGTGTTTAAGATTTTTTTTTTTTTGCTTTGTCAGAAACAGCATTTTTACCGATATGCGTTCGCAAACCAGTATGAGTGCAGCAGGTGTGACATAGAAATAGACTGTTGTACTCCATTTCACCTTAAGTCCGACCGCAGCGTACGCTTCAAAACGACAGAGCCAATCAAATAGCGGCAAGGTGCAACGTCACAGAGTGCATCCCCGGGGGACCCAATAAAGTGCAAAAAGTGCTTTTGTCGCTGCTTGGTGAGTCATATCGTCTCGTAGCGTCCGCAGCACTTAGACCTAAAGTGAAACGGATGATAACTGCAAGTTTGTCTCATAAAAAAATTTAATCTACCGTGATGTTACATTTAGGATACGATGATTATCCTTAGCCAGCGGAGTCAGGGAATCAACTATGGGCACCTCATACGCGGTGGTTCGCTGAACCATGTTCAGCGAAAATTGGCGAGCGCTGTGGCGTCGTCTGCTCTGTGCCTAGCAGACGACAAAGCGAGGGTGTGCTCGCAGGCGGGAAGAGCGAGTACGCCACACGGCGCATGCGCGGAGTTTCGGACGGCGCCTGCTATGGGGCGCGGGGAGTACGGGGCGGCCGCCGTTGCCGTGTTATAGCTAACAGTGTCCACGATAGTACACCTTGTCTTCTTCAACTACACCGCTAAAGTTCCTTACATCGTCAGAACTCACAACAGGCTGGGTCTTGTCGAGTAGAAATTCTACTAAAACATAAGACATTGTAGTGTCCGGGCAGGATCGATAGGTTGGAGTAAGCGTGCAAACAAAACAAGTCGAGAGCGATCGTTCATGAAAGCTCGGCGAAGCCTCTATGGGCGAAGCGAAGTGCGAAGTGGCGTCTTCGGCGTTTCGGCGGGCTTCTGATCAAGGTTGTCGGTCGGCTGCGTCTCATATCTCTAGCATCAGCGGTTTTATGGGCTCACGTCCCGGAATCGTTTTCTTGTGCATAGATTATTTTTCGCATTCATAGTTTTGACGAAATAGTGGTATCCGAACGAACTTTACGTCCTTTGACCATACGTCTGTCTGCACGTCAAAGCTTTTTGACGTACATTCAGAGACAATCGATGTACAATCAGAATCGCCACCAAGACATCTTGATGGCATTTCACGGCGGCCGACTGCCACCAGAAAACCATCAGAGAGCCGACAAGTGGAGTCTGGCTGGAGTTTGACTGTCGGTCAGAGTAACTTGTTGGCCAATCAGACATGCTTGACGTACAGTCAGGCACAGTCAGCGGTCCACTAGAAAAAAAACATATTGAGGGGGGATCGGTGGCCGAGGGGTCTTGCGCACACCAGCTCGGAGCACGTGGAGCGAAAGCTCGCGCTGCAGAACCCAGGGATCCTGGGTTCGAGCCCCACCCCTGCCCGTTTCGATCTGGATGAGCATCGCAGCGGCGTGCGGTCGTGTATCACTACTGCGTGATGCACGTTAAAGACCCCAGGCTAGCGGCTGTACCGCACTGGCTAAATTTCTCATCTACAGCTGGGAGACTCGTCGCCCCTGTGAGGCAGACCAAGTTCTAGGCTGTATAAACACACACACAACCCAATTTTTTTTTTAGAAAATATTGACTGCCAAACAGGGTTACATTGATGGATTTTTCCTTCGGGTAGGTACAATAGAAATAAAACACCATAAAGGAACACTATATTAATAAAGCGCTACTACGCAACACATCGTGTACAAATACAGTGAGCAATGAAGAATCTGTAGGACCGAAGAATAAATTATTTTATTCACATTACGAAACTATAATAAAAACCTTGAGCCTCCTCGTAACAAGTATAACAAGTTGCAACAATAAGATTATAATGATCAGAAATATAATCTTGAACAGCACGTGTTTTAGAATCGAAGAGCGAGTGGATGTCATCGTTGTAATAATGGCGGATAACTTCAGAGGAAAACAAAAAGTGTATTTACACTGATAAAATAAACGTATAAATATTTACACGTAAAGATTCTCAGTCACTTCATGGAGTTCGTCTCGTTCGATCCGTCCTGTTCGATCCGATTGCTTGCCTTCCGCTGGCGTTCAGCTCGTTCCGTTCACTGTCTGACGTTCAGCAGGCGTTCCGTTCGCTCCGTCCACTGTTTGGCCTCTAGCTGGCGTTCCGTGCACTGTCACTCTGGCGTTCCCCCCCGTTCCGTTCACGATGAGCTTGGTTTTCCGCCAGTTCACCATCACTGTCAGTCCTCAATCTTCTTCTTTCTGGCTTGCTTTTCGCGTCGCCGAGATTTTTTTTTCTCGTTTTCTCCCTTTTCGAACAGAGTCACGCGCTCTCAGCAAAATGCTGAACAGGTTTCACTCGCGAAGGCCGCAATATCGGGTGTCACGAGTTAAGTAAATGTGAATGTTGTTTTTAGTTACTTTGCTACCTGTATGGAGCTCGGTTAATTTGTAACACCATGAGAATTCTCGCGGACATATAAAAATGACATAAAGTTACTGCAAAGTGTCTATCAAGCATGATAAACATTAAAGAGTTTTAGTAGATCGTTTTCAAAAGCCCGGTACCGCTACAAGCGCTTGCTTCGGAGCATGCATCGAAGAGGTAGAGCGAGCTCCCGCTACACATAGCGTTGCCCGAAAACACGGTCTACTAAAACTCTCTATTGATCCTAATCCCGAGCTCTTGGGCTTTCTTTCTAGCGAAAGCGCAGCGCTACTGAATTTTCGTAGAAAAATAATAGCCCTTGAATTGCCTAGTTCAACATTCCTTACATTTCGTGCACAATGTTTAGATATTTGATACAAAAAATTGATTTGCGGGATTTGCGGCAAAACCAGAAACTACGGTCTCGGAAGCTGCGTTATATTTTGCGAATGAGCTTCACTACAGTGGTGATGTCAGTATCGTTCCACGGTTACATGTGTCAGGTTCGTTCAATTTCTGTAGGTTTTGCATATTCAAGACGCCTCTGTAATCCTTATCACAAATTGAACCAGAGAGGCTTAACCGCATGATAATTTGCAACACATGGCCAGAAATTTGTGACAAGCTGTTCTAGTTCACTTATTTACCGACACGTGGCGTATTCACCTTTAACTTTTACGTCGTGTGCAAATTCCCGCCAAACCGAAATGCGTTCCGCGTGCAATGAATAAAATTGTGAAAAATAGAAAATAGAGCTACGTTATCAGAGCTTCTCAAACAGTACTACAGAAAGGGGGAAGATCAATTGATGGACAGCACAAAGAACACGCAGAGAGCGTGCTGACGCGGCACAAAAAACCCGCGCCAGTGTTGGTGGTTAATTCGACGAGACGGGTTGTTTGTGTGTGTCAGTGTGTGCGT